ATAAGGCAGGCTCTGAGCCTGGGTACTCATTCCTTTGTAAGTTAATAAATATGCATAAAATATATGGTTTGTCCAATCATGCAGGAGACCCAGAGGGATTTCCGGCCACAGAATTGGTGTAGTCTGTCTGGATAAAGGAACTACAGCCTTGGGGATGTGGGCCTCAGAAAGCAGTACTGTTCCTGCTGCCCCTGTAGTGGGTCAGCTGGGCTCTGAGTCCCAAATCCAGGAGAGAAGGCAATCAAAACCCTTATGCTTAATGGGGTTAGGGATAGTCATATGGGCTATACAATAGATCACAAAATCTGTAACTAAAAAGAGGCCAGCCACACAGAAGTGTGGGCCACAGCTATGTTGTAAATGTGGGGATATGTTGCGGCTATGTGAAGATTTGTTAAAGGTTACCCAAAAGCTAGAAAATCTTTTACCTGCTCTGGACCCAAATGGAGCGCCCAAAGAGAGAGCGAGTGGCCACTTTGCATCAAGAGAGAGAGAGAGAGAGAGAGAGAGAGAGAGAGAGAGAGAGAGAAAGCGGCCACTTTGCATGATAAAAGATGTGCCCCAGGCAGGAAAACCGGAAAAGGCTGTACTGGCAGACCCGGGCACAGAGCTGAAGACTGAGGAAAGGCAGGACACTTTGACTTGTGTAAGGTCCAAGGACTCAGAGGAAAAGACAGATAATAGTAAAAAGGAAAAAAAAAAAAGCTAACTGTACTATAGCTAGGAAATATTCCATACTAAAACTGTTAAAACTAGGAAAAACTTACAAGCAAGCAATCAAAGAGCCCCTAGCCATGTGGCTTGTGGGAGTATTGGACATGGGAGCAAATGACATCAGTTTAAGTCCTTCAGAAGCTTCACAGCTGAGTTAAATAACCACCCATCCATCCTTGTGATATAGGCTATTCAACCTAGGCCAATGCAGGGGGGGAGCAGTCCTTAATGGGAGGCTGGTTGAAGGCATTAAAGATACATGGTTGTCACCAAGGGAGACTAACATGATTAGCAGGGGCTGGAGGACTATAAAGGAGGGGGCAGGCATTACTGAGAGAACTAGGTATGAGAAAAGCAATATATGATATCCAGTTCATTGGGCCAGATGAGACTGTGTTCACCAGAGCTATGAGAGAAAGCTTAATTCAACTGGGACCTTGAGAATGGTATGGGGCTTTAATGGCTTTACTAAGCCCTTTGATGGGACAGGATCTTTGTAAAGCGAGAGAGGCTTTGGCAAATCTAAATGATTCTGACCAGCATGTAAAACATGTCTGTGAGATAACAGAACACCCTATAAGAGATATTAAAAAAAAGACCAGACAAAGGAAATGGTCCACTTGGGTTACTCGAAGACAAATGTGGCAAGACTTATGTCAAGCCCAAATCCCCAGAGGAAAAAAATGATAGAAAACCAAATTTGGTACTAAGGCGTTTCTGGAAGGTTTTAAAACCAGAAGAACAGTTTACAAAAGAGATTCAAAGGATAACAACTGTACAAGGGGTGGTTAAGAATCCCCAAGGATTAAGTAAGATTCATTTCTCTTCTGATAAAGGCTATACTAGGGGTGGAAGCAGGTTTTCCCACCAAGTTCTCCCCCAGTAACCTGGTGTGGTCAATAGGAAGATGACAGATGTGGCTATAGTCAGGAGGCAGACCCAGAGCTTGCCTGACTCAGGGAACCCACAAGTGCAGCAGGGACAGGAGAAGCTCCCTGCCTCCTTAGCCCAGTGCAGGGTCAGGAAACTGGAGCCAACACCTGTAAGTGTATCAAGAATAAAAGAATCCAAAGAGATAACTAAAAATGGTAAAGAGCTAATCAAATCAATGTCTCATACCCATGCTATGGTACCTAAGAAGGATCTATGGAGAAAACAGTTAATACAAATGGACAAAACCTTTTCATGCTGTGTGAGACCTTGTCTATACTTGATTTAATATATGTTAACATTCCCTTGAGTGTTTTACAGATGTGAAACCCATTCGAAAGATACCTGGAGAAGCAACAGCTAGCTATAGCTGTAAGATTCTTGGGAGTTTTATGTAGGTTGGGTAAGATGAGGATAGAGATACCCAAGCTATACAACTGTTAAGAAAATCTACAGTACCAGGGGTGGGTTGCCCCCTTATGAGCTGTTGGTCAGAGAGATCCTAGAGGTCCTCCAATTCACCAAGGCTATTGCCATTAATGTTGGTTGTACACTAGAAAGGTCAGTAAGGCCATGTTGCTGAGGACACTGCATGTTGTGAGTGCAGGAAAATAAGAGACTAAGCCAAAGAACTCCTTGCCATTGGATGGCTGATGTTCATATTGCCAGAAGGCTTTATACAGATGGTTGGGGAAGAAATGATCCCCTATAAGTCTACTCAGTGATGGACCCCACATGCTGCACACTATGGACATGCCAAGCAATACCTACAAGTGCAATAATGGCTTTAACACATATGTACAACTGACAAATTTCTAATTGGATAAGGCCCACTCCTAGGGGTGGAACACACATCTGGTGCTGTAGACCAGGCCAACGCCTTATGTTGAGAAAGGCTACAGGCCCTAGTGGAGACGCCATCATGAATATACTGTTTAATGAGTATAGTACACTTGCTGGGATATCCTCTAGGCATCTGTATTTACATTCATGTTTGTTTAAACGTGTCTACGTCCTTCCATTTGTCTTTATAGTAGAAGAAATGCCACTGAGATAGATCAGTGGCCACGGCTTAAAGATGACTAATGGGGAGGCCCAAGAAGCCAGTCCCTCACCATGATACAAGAGAGATTGCCCTACATCTATCACCCCCCTCCAAGGCTCAGGGACTTTAGCAGAAGATGGACGGAAAGATTGTAAGAGTGGAGGAAAGGTGTGGAGTGTCTCCCAATTGGCTAGTTCCTCCAATGGGCGGGCCCTGCCGTGGAGTGTGGACTACTGGGATGTGGCTGGGAGTGATCTTGGAACTGAAGCCATGAGCCCAGCCGGGGAAGTCATAAGCCATGAGGAAGCGCACGAGCCATGGGAATGTGCAGCCACACGCAACAGCTCAAAGACAAAATGGGCTGACTCTTATGGACCTGTAGTGATTGCTGGCTCCAGAGGCGTGAGCGAATGTTAATGGGGACTATGGTAGTGGTGGTGCGGTTTGATAAGGTAGGCTCTGAGCCGTGCCACCAGAGGCATGGGGCTAGGCACTGGGTACTCATTCCTTCATAAGTTAATAAATACACATAAAATATATGGTTTGTCTGATTGAGCAGGAGACCCAGAGGGAATTCCAGCCAGAGTAAGTCACCAGTTACATTTTGGAGATGACTTTGTGAGAAGGTCTGGGAAAGGATAGAAAAGTTCATGGAATATGTGAAGTGGAGGTCAGTGGGTTAGTGATGGAGGAAACTTGGGTGGAAGAGTTAAGGGAAAGATGATGCAGGAGCTAGATGGAAAAGTACGGCCAGAGAAAGCTGGTATGAGTGTTGAAAAGACTTTAACAAGGCAAAATGTGAGAACCAAGAATGCTGGGATGGGGTACAGAGGAAGACAAGATGCCATAGGAAAGGAGTGAGATTCCAGGAGAGGGGATAGAATTAAAGGCTGAAGACATGGAGGTGAAGAGGAGGCAAATCATTGAAGAGATGGGGAGAGGCTCTGCATGACAGGCAAGGAGCAGAGGCTGGGCAGTCACAGAGAATTTTATGAGAATTTATACATCTTTCACCTGGTCCTCACTCTTGACTTTGTTTGGCATGCTTCTCCATCTTTCTATAGCAGCCATTCCAGGTCAGGAGAGGCTGAGCTGGTCCACTCTTTGTGACCTCAGGTCCTATCTGCATCCTTTTGGCCCCTAAGTGCAGTCTGGCATGGAAGCCATAAATATCCCAGGAGACACAATTGAATGGTCTTTGCTGTAAACACAGATTAAACTTTTAATTTCTTTCAAAGGTACAGCTAGTAATTTCATGAGTAACATTCTCCAAAATTCTTCATGTAATCACTACATCCCTAAAATTTCTCAAAAAGTTCCCTAGATTTGATTTGTACCCCCGCCAGTATCTTGCTGGAGTGAGAGAGTTGGGGGAGGCTTGGGTGGGATACAGTTTTTAATGTGAGGAAGCCCAATAAACCAGATTTAGATTGTTTTTTCTTTCCTTAAATTTCGTATTCATAGTAAAGACAAGATAGTTATACTACGTTAATTGCAATTTCTGTAGAATGAGGAAGTTTACCCAGTTCTTAACTGGAAAGAACATGCTAGCTGTACTTCTCATGATTAGAGAAGTAGTCCATGCAGTTGTACTACAGTCAGTGACCGTAGCCCAGCTTAGGTTTGCAAGCAGAGATGATAGTTCTTCAAAATTCTTTTGTTCCAGTTGTTAAGACAGGGTCTATTGTAGAACATGCTGGCCTCAAACTAGTAGTGATCCTCATCCTCCAGCTTCTGTCTTCTAAGTGCTGGGAGTATAGGCACCTGCCGCATACCTTGCATTTTTGTTTTATTCTTCTGGCAGTTGAACCCAAGGGCATGCACCACTGAGCTACATTCCAGCCACCTTGGCTCTTAAAAAACATCCTTCATATAGTCACGTAGCTCCCACTGGAGTAAGTATGCACATAGCATCATAACCTCAAGTTTAATGACACATAGGGCAAGTTATAACATATTTGATTTTTACACATTTGGAAATTCTGCAAATAAAGATTTTTGAGGGGAAGCCTTTAATTACATGATTAACTGAAATGGCTAGAAAAGTAATAAAAATCTACTATTTTACTTTATTACTATTTTAATGTAATTTCTGATTTTGTGATCATATTTAAAATTATATACCACAGATAACACCAGAAGTCGAAAAAAGCACACCAAGTATAAATCTGAAACACAGAACAAAACGAACAAGACCACATATACTTACAAAAACTCTAGAACCAAGTATGCTAAGAATTATTAAGCTGTACCCTTTGCCCTCGCCTACACACAAGGCTGATAAAGCTATGCCTTTTGGTCTCTTAAAAACCTAAGCATGCTCTCGGCATCGAATGAGCTTTTTAAAAGCCAGCTTAAAGTCTTCATTAAAACTTGTGTACAGAAGAGGGTTGATTAGAGAATTAACATATCCAAGCCATGTTAAAAAGTCAGCCACTTCAGAGGATATGGTGTTTACACTCAGGCCCACAATCAACTCTTTGATGAAAAATGGCAGCCAGGACAAGATGAATGCGCCCAAAATCAGTCCCAGGATGCGTGCTGCCTTGCGCTCCCTGGTACTAGAGATTTGCTGCCTTTCTCCAGGGTAATCCAAACCATTGTCAAAGGGAGGGATCTTGATGGAGGTGTAGATCCTTTCAAACTCTGTGGTAGGGTCTACTGAGGTGGTGGCGTCAGACACACAGAAAGTCTGTGTAAGTTTATAACTTGCAAATGAATTCTGGCTGTCTGTGCTTCTGTTGCTTAAATGCCTGCTTGATCCCCTTTTCTGGTACAGGCTCTTGGCTGCATGGTAAATTCTATAATAGAGAATCAGGATCAATGTTAAGGGGATATAAAAAGCCCCAAGTGTGGAGTAAATGGTGTAGATAACATGGTCATGCTGGATAGTGCACTGGCTGGTGAGTGGGCTGAGCTGGTGGTGGCTTCTCCAGAACAGAGGGGGCATGGAGATGAAGATGGAGATGGTCCAGACAGTGAGAATCATCAGTCCTGCCCTCTTGGCTGTCCTCTTTCTAGCATATTCAATCGCATTGGTGATGGCCCAGTACCTGTCCAAGGCAATCACACAGAGATGGAGGATGGAGCAGGTGCAGCAGGCCATGTCCACACTCAGCCACACCTCACAGACAAAGTACCCAAGCTTCCAGCTTCCCATGACAATATACATGATGCTCAGGGGCATGACAAGCACCGCTACCAGGAGGTCTGTCACAGCCAGCGAGCAGATCAGGTAGTTTGCGGGCTGATGGAGCTTCTTGGTGGTGCAGATGGCCAGGATCACAGCAGAGTTCAGCAACATGGTCAGGGTGGTGATGATCACCAGAGCCATGCAAACAAGCATCTTCTCTGTGACAGTCTTGGGCCTTACTGCCACACTGGCTTCTGTGGTACAGTTGCTGATGTTCATGGCTCCAAGTTCTAATCTGCACTGTGGAGAAGCTGCAGGTTATTTTTCTTCAGCTGTAAATTGTAGTCTTGAGTGTCTTTCCTTTGTAAGGAGGCTATAATTTCTACACCTATACAGTCTCTCGTTTTCCATTTTTTTTTGTGGGTAAAGGAGACAGCCACCACATTTCTTCTGAGTGGAGAGTTCCTGGAAAATATTATACTACTCGTTAATAAAATTGCCACAATTTTCCAGGAAAACATGATAGTATTTTGGTATTCACAAAATACCAAAGATTTTCAATATAATTTTCTTTCTCCTCTCTGTAATTTGAGTTCATCTTCACATTATTCCACAAAGAATATTTTTGAGCTAATTTCTCAAACTGCTTCTGATAAACACAACATCAACAATATTTAAGTCTGTTCTTGCTAACTGAATTTCTTCTTTTTATTCCTTTACATGTATTTAAAAGATCTCTGTTCAAAAAGATGTATTTACATTACATGGCTTTAAATTTTCTGGGGAGTAAAATGTCAGATTAGAAGTCACATCTGAGGGAATGACTAGTCCTAGTGAGGCCCAGGGCTCAGGACTGCTATGCTGTCCCACCACAACTCACTGACAGATGTGCTCTACTCACCAGCACATCCCCTCCACTTTTCACTGACACCTGCCCCTGCATCGCCCCAGGCACCCCACTAATGCCGGATCAACCTTAAATATGTCTCTTCCAGTGAGCGACCTACAGAGTCAGCATCCCAAGTGAATTCTGTCTTAGAGTAACTGACCCTCAGTAGTCACAGATCCCGGAAACTGCCCACTGCAGCCACTGTCACACACGCACAGGGGCTAGTCTCATGACGCCACTCTCCTTGCTTTTGTTGAAACAGCAACACCTAATCAGGCACCTCAAATGATCTTGGGAACCTTGGAGAGAACCCTTGCCTATTGAGAGCAAACAAACAAACAAAAAAAAACAACCATGGAGTTCCAACACAACAAAGCAAGCACAAAAGGACTACTGGGGGAAAAAATGAGGCTTAAAAACCGGAGCATGAGTCTGTCAGCCAGAAAAAGCAACTCCCAGTCCTCTGCCATCCCTAGGTCCACTTACAAGGCAGAAGTGCCGGGCTATGAAACAACCATCTGCCTGCACAGAAAGGCATCCTGGTGGGCAGCACTGGCGTGTTGAGTCTTTTTTGGGCAAGGCACAGCAAGCTCAGCCTCTGGAAAGTTCAGTCCTTTACTCACAGGGAGTTGGTTTGTACCTTGAGGAGGAGGTAGGGAACTCGGGCAGGAAGCTGTTTACTTATATTTACTGCTCTAGCTAAGACTTTGGGCACTATATTAAGAATGGAGAGTGGACATCTTTGCTCCAGTTTTTGGAGGAAATGTTACAGGTTTGCCATACATAGCCTTCATCATGTTAGCTGTGCTCCTCCTCAGGGATTTTTATCAGGAAGGGATGTTGGATTTTATCAAAAGCTTTTGCTGCATCATATGATTTCTGCCAAGTCGATTTATGTGTTATATTACTCTTACTGATTTCTGTATGTTAAACCAACCCCATATCTCTGGAATGAAAGTGACTCAGTTATGGTGTCTGATCTTAGTGTCCTTTTGGATACAGCTTGCCAGAATTTCATTGAGCATTTTGGGAACTTTCTTTTCTGTCTTTTTCTGGTTTGGGTATACAGTTAGGGTAGGTTTCATAGAATGAGTCTAGAGATAACTTTTTCAGGAGTTTGAAAATTGTAAATTTAATTTTCTTTAAAGTTTCAGGGTTGCTCAACCTGTTTCCTATGGGTAAACTGTGCTTTTTGAATTATTGGTCCAGTTTATCCAAACTGACATTTGTAGAAAGTTGTTTTTAAGTATTAACTATTTTGATATCTGCAGGTCTATAATGATATTCCCTGTTCATTGCTGAAATTGATTATTTGTGTGTTTTTATTTTTCCTTTGAGAGGTATGAAGTTTTTCAATTTTATTGATCTTTTCAAATAATCAATTTTTGGTTTCACAGATGACTTTTCTGCCTTGACATTGTTAGCTACTGCTCTGATCTTTCTTAGTCCCTTCCTTCTTCTCTGGACTTGTTTTACTATTTCTTTTTCTAATTGCTTTTTTCTTCTTTTGTTGTGCTATTACCTTTTCTAGCTTCCTGAGGTGGGAGTTTAGATGACTTCTAAAAATATTTTAATTATTGTATTTGTTTTATGTATATGAGTGTATTGCCTGCATGCTTGTAAGTGCACCTGTGTTGTGCAATTACCATGGAGGTGAGAAGAGGGAGGGCATCAGAATCCGAGGAACTGGAGTTATGGACAGTTGTTAGTCACCATGTGGATGCTGGGAACCAAACCCAGGTCCTCTGAAAGAGCAGCCAGTGCTCTTAACCTCTGAGCCAAATCTCTGGCCCGGCTTAACATATTTTATAGCAGCTGTCTTTTATGGCCCCTTAATATTTCTGCCTTCATGGTAAATTAGCCCTTTCATCGTAATGTAATGCCTCATCATTCTCTTTGCTCTTAAGTCTTCTTTATCTGATATTAATGTCTGCATATCTCCTGCTTCTGACTGATCATCTTTCTTTCCTAAATCTTTTCCTTTCAACCTTCCTGTATGATTAGGTTTGGACTGTCTGAAAAACAGCATATAATTGGGCCATGTTTTTGTTATTCACATTGACAATTTGTCTTTTATTAATTATTGGAAATGTTTAATACACTTATGATAGGTTATTAATTCTGCCATTTCATTTTTGCTTTTGCTTAATTTTTTTTGTTTACATATCTGATTTATTTTTCTACCTTCCTATAAGTTACATGGATATTTTTCAAGTTAATTTGAATTTTTATATATATAGTTTTTAGTTCATTTCTTGCGGCAGTTTTCAAATGGCTGATTATATATATAATCACTGGTCCCAATCTGTTGGTGATGCTATTTCCCAAGTCAAGTGAAACACAGAAAACTGATCTCTCTTTACTTCACTCAACCCTTTCCCACTCACAATAAAATTTAATTAAACATTTCTTCTTTAGTCATTGAAAACCACATTAGGTTATTTTATAATTTTGCTTCAAGGAGCTGGAAAGATGGCTCAGTGGTTAAGAACACTTCCTATTCTTCCAGAGGACCTGGATTCTATTCCCAGCACCCACATGGTGACTAACAACCATCTATAACTCTAGTTCCAGGGATCCAACACCCTCTTCTGGTCTCTGTGGGCATTGTATGCACTTGGTGCGCTTATACACTTACAGGCAAAACACGCATACACATGTTGAAGCATAATTTTGCTTCAACAATGAAATATAGGAAAAGGAGAGTCAAATTGTGTTTTATTTACTCATATTTTTGTTATTTTTCTTCCTCCTTCTCCTCCTTTGCCTCCTCCTCCTCCACCTCCTCCTCCTCTTCTTTTTGGATATATGGTCTCATTCTGTAGCCCAAGCTTGTCTGGAACTCACTATATAGCCCAGGCTTTGAACTCAAGGTAATCTTTCTGCCCAAGCCTCCTGAGTGCTGGGATTATAGGCATGAGCCACCAAGCATAACTTTTCATTGTTTTTGCTTCCCTCCTCATATTCCAAGATTCTCACTTTTATCATGTTATTTCTACTTAGAGACCTTTTTTAATCCTTTTATGGTAGATCTGACAGTAAATTTTTAGTTTCTTTTTATTTAAGAATCTGGTGGTTTCTAGTCTTTTTTTTTTGTGTGTGTGTGTGTGTGTGTGTGTGTGTGTGTGTGTTCATATGTGTGTGTAAGCACATAGGTGTCACACCGTCAAGACCGAAAGCCCAAATTAAGAGTCTCCTTCAATTGCTCCCTACCTTGCTTTTATTTCTTTAAATTAAAAAAAAAAAAAAAATTTGTGTGTGAGCACGTGTATGGGGTGTCTGCAGGTGTGCACATCTGTGTATGTGGAGACCAGAGTTGACACTGGGATGTCCTCTCCAGTCATTTATCTACTTTATTTTTTTGAGCGAAGGTCTCTCACTGAACCCAGAGTTCACCATTTGGGATAGACTGGCTAGGCATCAAGCTCCTAAAATCTGATACTGTCCTCCAGCTCAGACATTACAGACATACTCAGCCATGCCTGCCTTTTCTGGGGTGCTAGATATCTGAACTCAGATCCTCATGCTTGTACAGCAAGCACTTTTCCTACTGAGCCTCCTCTCTTCATTCTTTTTTTAAAGATTCGTATTTTATATGTGTGTATGCCACATGTGTGTAGGTACCTGTGGAGACTGGAAGAGAGCACTGCATCGTCTGGAGATGGAGTTGCAGGTGTTTGTGAGCAGTCTGATGCAGGTGCTGGGAACTGAACTTGGGTCCTCTGGAAGAGTAGGAAGTGCTCTTAAACCATGGAGTCATCTCTCCATCCCCTCTGTCTTCGTTCTTGAAAGGTGTTTTTATTGTATATGGAAGTCTAGGCTGACAGTTTTTTGTTGGTTGGTTGGTTGGTTTTAAAACTTGAAAAATGGGCCTTTTCTTTTTGGTGTCTATGGTTCCTAATAAAAAATCTACAGTAATTGAAATTTTCTTCCTTTGTAAGTATGGCATCAGGATATAATGCCGTGTATGTTTGAAGATGCAACAAGGAAACCCATTATTTTGTATGCTAATTTAGATAATCAATAAAAGTAAAAAAGTGTTGTATTATTCTGTTTCACTGCTAAAAGTTTTTTAAATGTTTACTTTTAATTTTTTAATTTGAATTGATGTGTCTTGGTGTCTGTCTTTGTGTCTTTGTGTCTGTCATATTTGAGTTTAATCTGTTCTTTAATATTTTCATACATGCTGCCAAAATCTTTTGCCATTTTTTTCCTAGGAAACTTTCTTTCAAAGGTCTGCCCTCTGTTCTCTCTTACTATGGATTTCCATTGACATGTATTTTGGATCTTTTGTTACATTCCAACAAATCCCCAAGGCTGTTCTTCCTATTTTACCTGAAGCTTTTATGTTGTGATAGTGTATGTTTTATGTTGGTAATTAGAGCAATTTGCATTTTTGTATATGCAAGCCCACAGATTCTTTCCAGTGCTCCCTATTCTGCTATTGAGTACATATGCTGAGATCTTTAATTTTAGACGTTGGATATTCTATTTTAAAACTTTGACTTTTTTCTTTTTTATTTTCTATTCATTTGCCAAGATTTTCTTTTATTTCATTTGTTTTATGTGCAATTTT